CACTGGTCCGATGAACACAGAGCGAGAGACAAGAAAGGCAAGGCTCACCAAGCCATCCATCTCTCCGCCCCTCAGTCAATCCCACCTGCGTTTATCAGCCAGGCTGGCACAATAAACTATCTCAGAGCGTGATGCCCTTCTCCAGGGACTGTGCCCTCCTGACCACATGTCAAAGGATAGGAGACGGAGTCTCGCCATCCTGGCCGCTAAGGAGCGCCCTGTCCATACTTCTTCCAAGACATATTGGTTTGTACTCTGGCAGCCCATGGTGCTTTTCGTATTCTCCCCCAGCACCACGATTCAAACGCTCCATCTTCCTTGGTCCTTATTCGGCGTCCCACGTTCACAGGCACCTGAGGCAACGGAACACGCCATGGTTCGGGTCAGGGACACCTGAGTGTCGGAATAGCATCCTTGCACTCCGACCCTCGAAAGAGCTCTTGTGCAGCAGATGCACCTGATGCTTCCATGAGCATTGAGGGCGGATCCAAGGAAGACAACGTTTGACGACTTCTACCGCTCTTTCTTCACTGGTGCGACCTGGGGCCTGGTCTTCGCTTGCATGTGGTGTGGATGATATTGCTCTGCAGTTGGAGCATTCCCTTGGGTAGTCTCTCTTGGGAATGGGTGCAAATATGGGTCTCTTCCAGTGGAGACCGGTACCAAGTTTTACAGCCCCTGGGTGGAAAAGGGGCCGGCACCATTCAGACACTAGAAACCCCCTGTTCTCTTTCCCCGGGGGGATTCTCCAATAACCCCTGGATTTCGCTCTCCCCCCCCCCTCCAGTTAGCCTGGGCTCCGTAAGACCCGAGACCAGAGGCCTGGTTGTGAGATTCACGAGGGGCCTGTGCTGAGTTCGGAGTGACTGTTGGAAGGATCGCTCCCGTTGGCTGGCAGAGACTCAGGCACTGTGGGGCTCCCCCCGCTGGCTGGTTTGGGGTGCTGGCTTTGCTCTGTGCCTGTGCCTTCTGGGGGCTCTCCTAATGGCCCCGGGGTAAGAAGGTCTTTCCTCCCCAACCAAGACAGCGTCCACTTTGGATGCAGACAGCGCTTCCCGACCCCCCGAGTCGGGCAACCTTTTTATTTTGATGAATAAAATCTCAAGGTAATCAACAAGCAGCATGAAACGACACACGCTTCCTAAACTCCCGCAATTCTGAATAAGGCCACCCACACCTGGGCAGGGACAGGCTATTCAGACAAGCGGCATTGTTCAGGGTCCGTCCCCCGGGGGAGACTCACAGCGACACTCGTTTCTGAGGGCTCAGTATCGCCCAGACAAGGGCTCTGTTCACCGGGCATAAGACCTGGCGCCAGCCTTTGGGGCAGACCCTCTCTGGGGCTTTGCCATTCTGAAAGCGTCGGATCCGTGGTGGCCGCTGTGTCTGGAGGCGGTGCCACGTTGGGTCCAGTGATCTGAAAAGGGAGGCAGAGTCTCGGTTCAGTTGGGGGGGCTTGGGCCTGACTCCACCCCACAGAGTTGTCGTCAGGGGCCATGGAGTCGGCTCCGACCCACAGCGACAACAGTGCAGCACACCGCGCCTCGCAATCGTTGCTGTGCCTGAGCCCAGGGCTGCAGCCACCTTGTCCTCCACCTCCTTGTGGGCCTTCTTCTTTCCCCCGCCTCTCCACTTGACCAAACACGCCGTCCTTCTCCAGGGACTGGGCTCTCCTGACAAGTTGTCCAAAGGACGTGAGACGGAGGCTTCTCATCCTTGCTCCTAAGGAGGGCTCTGGCCATGCTTCTCCCAACAGAGACTGGCCTGCGCCTTTGGCAGCGCACCGTACGTGCCTCACGCGTTTCCTGCACCCCACTCACGTGCCGTGACTCTCCTCTGGTCTTCCTTGCTCAGTGTCCAAGTGTGTCCGACGGCGTGGTGGCTTGTGCATTGCTGCGATGCTGGGGGCGACGTCACTGGTATTTCAGACGCCAGCACGGTCACCCCACGTGAGCAGGTTTCAGTGGAGGAGCTTCCTGACTCAGAACCGATGCTGAGAAAGGACTGCGCTCCCCACGTGGGGCAGGCCTTCCCAGCCTCGAGTCCAACCTCCCAGGCCAATGGCCCTCATGCTCAGCTACCTCCCCAGCCCCCACGTCCCCCCACCCCCGCCAGGGCAGGCGTGTGCTGCTGAACAGTTTCCGCAGAGCTATCAGGTGAGGACAGGTGAGGAAGGGAGGCCTGCAGGTCGGCTTCCCAAACTCAGCGAAACCAAATCTGAGAGTGACCACCAGGGTGACAGCACGGGGCAGGGGCGGGGGTGCATTTCGTTCTCATGTGACCCAGGCCCTCTCGGCCACCGCCAGCATCAGCACCCGTACGTCTCTGAGACAATGGAGCTGACACCCATGGACAC